TGGCCAAAGGTGAAGCCCTAAGTTTTGGCATTAACTGAGCCATGACCCTGGTCACATACTGAGCCTTGATCTTGGTTACAGCCTAAAGATTAAGCCTATTCATTGACTGAGCACTGACTCTACTTCCAGACTAAGTTCTTTTTTTTTTTTTTGTTCTTTTTTTTGGAGACAGAGTCTCACTCTATTGCCCTGGGTAGAATGCTGTGATGTCATGGCTCATAGCAACCTCAGACTCTTGGGTTGAAGTGATCTTTTAGCCTCAGCCTTCCAAGAAGCTGGGACTATAGGCACATGCCACCATGCCTGGCTAATTTTTCTGTTTTTAGTAGAGAGGGGGTCTCATTCTTAGGCTGGTCTTGAACTCCTGAGCTCAAGGGATTCTCCCACCTCCGTCTCCCAGAGGGCTAGGATTACAGGCATGAGCCACTGTACCCAGCCTCAGACTTGGTTCTAAACCTGATTCTAACCCTGTCTGAGCCTTGACCCCATCACACACTAAACCCTAACTCCAGCTCCACCCTAAGAAGGTTGCTGGCCTACATTATATGCTGCCACATAAGGAATATGGATTACGAGCCGAGATCTGTTTTGGGAGATCTTGGGCTGCCCAAGCTGCTGCTGCCAGAATGTTTCTGATATTATTGTGGCCACTGTCTCTACTGCTGGTTCCACTGGCTGGGTGATCAACACTCACAAGCCCAAGCTGTGGCCCCTGCAAGCCACAGCATCCAGGTTAATGGAATGAGAGTGGTTTGATGGCATCTATCCAGCAAACAACAAGGGCCCACGGGACACTGGGGTTTGGCTCTATCAGCAGAAAAACCAAAGGCTCTGTGGGGCCTCTGGGCTTCAGTCACTCTTGAGGCCTTTGCTGAAGAAGAGGTTGCAGTGGAGGGCTATTTTCACTTCTTGGATTATTTCCTTCCAGATTTTTGGAGGGTTTAGGCATCTGTGTCTGTATATACATATTTTATAAAATTTGTTGGCTACTGTATTGCTGCTACTATGTTCATTGCAGCCCATCTCCTCCTCCTCCTTCTTCTTTTTTTTTTTTTTTGGTTTTGTTTTTTTGGAGACAGTGTCTTGCTGTCTTCTTGATTGGGCTAGAGTGTAGTGGCATCATCATAGCTCACTGCAACTTCAAACTTCCAGATTCAAGTGATCCTCCTGCCCCAGTCTCCTGAGTAGCTGGGACTACAGGTACATGGCAACACACCTGGATAATTTTTCTAGATTTTGTAGGGACTGGTTTTGCTTTTTTTTTTTTTGAGAGCCTCAAGCTGTCCCCCTGGGTAGAGTGCCATGGCATCACAGCTCACAGCAACCTCCAACTCCTAGGCTCAAGCAAGTCTCCTGCTTCCGCCTCCCAAGTAGCTGGGACCACAGAACCCCGCTACAACTCCTAGCTATTTTTTTGGTTGCAGCCGTCATTACTGTTTGGTGGGCTGGGCTGGATTTGAACCCGCTACCTTAGTGTATGTGGCTGGTGCCTTAGCCACTTGAGCCATAGGCGCCGATCCTGGTTTTGCTTTTTCTCAGGCTGGTCTCAAACTCTTGGCTTCAAGCCAACCTCTCACCTCAGCCTTCCAAATTGCTAGGATTATAGACATGAGCTATGGGGCCTGACATCTCCTTTTAAATAGGAATTGGAATAGGGCGGTGCTTGTAGCTCAGTAAGTAGGGCACCGGCCCCATATACTGAGGGTGGTGGATTCAAACCCAGCCCCAGCCAAACTGCAACAACAACAACAAAATAGCTGGGTGTTGTGGCAGGAGCCTGTAGTCCCAGCTACTCAGGAGGCTGAGGTAAGAGAATCGCCTAAGCCCAGGAGTTGGAGGTTACT